TGTCTTAAACTAATGGGCCATGTGCTCATATGGCTCGGGGAGTCATGGTTCAGTTGTGCGGTGGCAGACTGAACCTGGTGTGCCGGGGGCTCACGGGATCTGGGTTAGGGTGTTATTGTCTCTATAAGACAACATTGCCCCGTGGGGGGAGTCCATGGGGTCTGGCATTGCCGGGGGATGAACCTTCCCTGGGCTATAAAGCATCGGACTATACGAGGCAGGTGTGTGTCCATCTCCGATGGGATAGTAAGGGAGGAGCATGGCCGAGTTGCTGCTCATCCCCGAAATTGCACTAGCTGAGAGTATGGTCAGTGGATGTTGCTGTGGGTTGACGACCACGGTGGGGGTTAGGGCGAGTTAAACGTTACCGCTGGGGAGCGTGGCTCTCTCCACACGAGGGTGTGCGATTAGGCGTTTTGTTGGGTTGCTGAGAGTGACCGTGGGTACATGCTGTGTACGTGCGATGTCTGTGCTGGTCCTCAAGGGAGGACTGCTGGTGGGTAAGAGCAGGAAATTTTGTTGTTGTTGTTGTCACGTGTAAATAATATTGTTGTTAAAATGTAAATAATGGGGCATCCATTGCGTTATTTTGGGTATTTATGGGGAGTTTTTTTTAAGCGGGCTGGATTTACATCATCTCCACTACCCTGAGGCCGGGTGGCTGTCGTGTACGACATGCGGATGTGCGTTGTTGTGCTGTGCCTCAGGGGATTGGATTCTCCTTCTCGTCACAGATTCTTCAGCTCCCGTCGCACTGGGTGTTACCTGGTGTGCTAGCTGGATGAGGACTTGAAGGAGCAATTGAGCGCCGTTCGTCATTCTGCTCTACCACTTGCTCTTTGACGTTGGACTTGAGCCGAGCGGATGGAACTGCAACATGGACACGCACTAAAACATCACATTTCTGGATTGTGCGCGTTGGCCGTTCTTGCGTGTCAGTTGCCGTTTTTGTTCATTGTGCCATTTTTATTCTTGTTGATGTTGCGCGGAGGACAGGCCGGTGTTCTGTTCCAGTTCCTGATACCTCCCCTTTCGTTGCTTGTGTTGTTGTTGTTATAATCTCCGTTGTGTCTGGGGGACTCCTGATTGTGATGCCTTCGCCCGCATTATTTTGTTCTGTTTCAGCCGAGGACGGCTGGGATTTTCTGTACGGGGGAGGGTAGTGTAATGCGGGCGTAAATGGGCGGGGCGGATATGACGATCCGAGAGGGAGGAGTCAGGGTGACGTGGGGGAGAAGTTATAGCGGGGAGACAGGAAGCTATCTGGGTCAGTCGGGGGAGTGAAGGGTGGTGAACACGTTGGGTGGTCGCCGTGCCTCAGCCTGGTGGCTGAGGGGCTCATGACGGCGCCAGCCAGCGGGGTGGAAGAGAGAGTGGAGGATTGAGGTTGGAGATGGCGAGATAGCCACAGAGGCCACGAAGGGCTGAGGTAGGAAGTGGCGAGATAGCCACAGAGGCCACGAAGGGCTGAGGTAGGAAGTGGCGAGATAGCCACAGAGGCCACGAAGGGCTGAGGTAGGAAATGGCGAGATAGCCATAGAGGCCACGAAGGGCTGACATTGGGAGGTGGCGAGATCGCCACGCACGGAGGAACAGGGAGCAGCGATGGAGCTGCTGGGGGAGCAGCCAGAGGGCTGCACCAAGAGCCTGCAGCGGAGCTGCAGGAGCGTGGAAGGCTACGGGAGCGAAGGCAGATGTGGGGCTGCCAGGGAGAGAGTCTCAGGAGGAGTGCCGTGTGGGAAGGAGAACGCGAACCCCAAATAAAGGACACGGAGTCAGCAAGAAGTGTCTGAGTCCTTTTATTACACAAGTGTAAAAAAAACATAGCTTATACAGCTATTACTGCTGTTGATGGTAGAAAGCTCTGTTTGGCAAGCAATATTTTCATATATATGGATCCTTTTACCAGTATTAGGAAAATAAATCACACGTTTTAGAGCACTGAGTCAGACTCGACTTATTAAAACAACTACATTTCTAGCATTCACTTCCAATCGGGTTTACCATCACCTTTGTTTAACCTACCATATCTGAGTCCACGAAGCAAGATAACTGCACTAACAATTGCATAAGGAGGTCATTGTAAATGTCTCATTGCCCCCAGGGAATGCTCCCTAAGGCTACAATGCTACAGTGGGTCTGTGCGTAATCTACACAGTCGCAATGATGAACTTAAAAAATGTTCTTGACATGCTATGGAACTCCAAGAACGTCAATTAAATACGGGTAACATTCGAAGGCTGACTAAAAGTACAAATTTAATAAGATAAAAAAACATATTAGTTTGAGCATGTAGAAATAATACATTACTTAGCGAGTAATTTACTGAATTGAAATGTATGCACAAAGAGCAAGTTAAACAATCACTATATTTAAATTCGGTATCTTTAAATGCTAGCAGTGCTTTTCTCTGCACACCGCAACGTTTTATAGCAATGTTCTTCGTATACATCCCAGTGTTATTTGTGTGTGGAAAATCTGGAATAAGCCAGCGTATTTTCTCTGCATATACCACGTTTCAGGCTCGCTGTGAGCTCGACTGTGGCTGCATTCCAGTCGGTCGCCACTCCAACCGCCTGGAACTCACCAACCACTCTCCGGTTATACAATGAGCCATTTGGCCACTTTAAAAGGAACACTGCCATTTTAATGTTAACTACTAAATGGTTCTTAATAGGTATTGTGAACCTTCCCAATCAATTATTAATTTAAATATCGCACCGGGCAGCCAAGCAGTGTTATACATACAATTAGATCATGCAGATTAGGCTCTGGTAAAAAAATTAGGCATGATAAACTTCCGTATGGTTTATGGTTAAGTGCCCGAGGTTATGTTGAAAACTGAAATGAGTTTACGGACTTATAGAGTTAAAAACGTAACTCTCCTGTGTTTTTCAATCGTGACAGTGATTGTGTGTAATGGGCCACACATTTGCTACCGTTATATAATTTAAAACAAAGCTCAAAAACAAATGTCAGTATGACAAGTTGGCTGCCGAGTGGCTGTGGATGATTTACAGTGCAAGTTGATGTTTAGTCTTCTATCCCAGGGTTGTTTCATTTGTTCCTGTTAACTTATTAATGAGTAAAACTAACCAACTAAACTTAAGATGGGAATGGTAGAAGAAAACGTGACTGGGTGCACAGATAATCTGGCGAACAGTCTTATTCGAGTCTCCAATCTTGTATTTATTTATAGAGAAAGTGTCAGGGTACTGACCTTGAGTTACAAACGATGAGTGCGATAAAGTATATTCGCAAAGACACATGAGGTTAACAATGATGTTATGGAATCCAGCGTGATATCCATCAACAGGTGAGACTGATGAATACAAAAAATCCATCCTGGAGAATAACAATTCTCCCGCACGCAGGCAATGGGGACTGAAAATGTGCTTGTGAAAATGTAAAAAATTGCAATAAGGTAGTTATTAATATATGGATGATACAAACTGATTAGTTACAAATTACAATGCAGGTGAGAATCTCAAGTAAGACAGATTGCCCAGCTGCGCACAGAGCCACATTGTATACGACCATCCCCACCGAAAATGTAATCGGATATAATGATTCACAATTTGCTGTAAGTTATAAACATTAATTTTAACAAGTACAAACCGATTGGTCCACAACAGAGACAGCTTTCTTTAGAGCCGCACAGTGTTCGACTAAAAAGTTTCTGTTTGGTGTTTTAACATCTTAACGCCAGAAAGGGTAAAACCTATTCTTATATTTTGATGCTGGCAAGGGGGGGTCCCATGATGTAGCTGCTCACCCTGAGCTCTCAATGTCCTGATAGTGGCATTGTCTTGGTGCTGTTTGCCTTTTGGCGTCCTCTAGTCTAACACCGTTTGAGATGAGGCTTTAAAAAAAGCTTTCTCTGGTGTGGTCCATTCAGTTTCAAAAACAATGCATATACCATCAGAGCATGTCTTTTTGTTTGCATGTTCGCCACGGGTACATGTGGTTAATGTAGACATGATTTCTTGCAGGTTTCTGTTTGGTGTTGTAACATTTCAACACAACTGTTTTATTGCCAGACAGGGTCAAACTTATTCTTATAGATTGGTAGAGCAGCCAGAACCAGCAATAACAAGTGCCCAAGCTCTGTGGACCTAATTAATTCACGAGTGATTATACACGCGGGAGGAACCACGTGTACCCAGAGAACGCCCACGCAGGCGAGGATGGTAACAACTCTATCTCCGTATAGACTGAATACAAATGGAGATACATCCTTTTGTGGCATTGAATACCCTGGCAAGCCAGGAGATGGCAACCTCGCAGCCCCAGTGGGTTGGGCGAGTTCACGTAATTGTGCGATCCACCAACAGGCGTGCCCGCCAAAAAGCCACAAGAACTGCCGAAGTCAAATACTGTGCAGGGGTTAAACAACCACCTGAGCCAACATGGCACAGGGATGGCCTTATTCAACAGTAGATTTGCAACAGAGCATTCTTATTTGCGTGTCTTGCCACAGGTACGTGTGATTAATTGCAGACTTGATGCCTTGCAAAAGGTGTCTATTTGGTGTTTAAAATTATGTTTTATTGCCAGGGTAAAACCTATTATTTTGTCAGATTTACAACATTATGTAAATTACTCAGTTATGTTGATGTCTAACATAGTCAATGCAATAGATATTTTTTATATATATTTTTTTTAGATTCAATTTTAATTTTACCAGGTAAGGCCCACTGAGCTACATAGCTCTTTTTCAGAAGTGACCTGGCCACAAATGACAACTCACCGAACTTGGCTTATCACGTGGAAATTTATAGCAGCCAAATCCTCAAAACGCACGTTTCTAAACGTGGAGGGAAAAACCGGAGGACCCTGAGAAAAATCCACACGACCACGGGGCAGAACATGCAAAACAATTTGCTTTAATAAGGAACGGTATTCAATAAAATCGAGCACCGCTTACGAAACTCCATTTTGACGTAACGATGGTAACGCACAATGGCCCCGCGAAGACCGTCCTGCCCCAGTTGCCTCACCTGTGTCCCGGTGCAGGTAGTCCTTGGAACCCGCGCAGGCGTTGAAGTACTTCTGTAGCGAGTCCACCTGGCGGCACAGGATGTCTCGGAACGTTTCCAGCTCCAACAACTTCTCCCTGAGGCTGCGCCCCTTCTGCAGCGAAAAGAGACACAGCCACCGCTTGCCTTTTGCGTCGAGATGCCACGTGGTCGAGGCCGTGCAAAGGCAAGCGGGCTTCTGGGCGGGACTTGTCATCAGCGGTTGAGACCATCGGCCCGAGCGGTAGGCAAAGGAGGAAAACACACGCCTGGAAATACGTTCTTTACGTAGACGGAGCGATGAAATTAGCGCGGGTAGAGGTGTTGAATAGATGGCTACTTCGCAGGACTAGAACAGTTGGCGACGACTTTTGGAGGGCCTTTATCCAATAGTGAGATTTTGTGCCAGTGAAATCAAAAGCAATTATCCATTTAAATAATTAGTTACAATACTTTGTCACTCTAAAAGAATAAAAGCAGAAGTATTGCAGAGAATACACTGCAAGCATGTTTCGTTGGAAGCAATGAGCGACATTGTACCACACCTAAAGGGGGCATTGTGGGCTCCTGCTAACCAGAAAAAACAACTGTTAAATCAAAATAACCCATATTTAGAAAAAAGTTTAGTATTGAACCAAGACTAATATCTGATAAGAGTGGGTGTTTGAAGAATAAACATCTGGCGGTTCACCAGCATTGGTTTAAGCAGGCCTAACTATGCTGATTAGGCACCGAATGTTGAAACCAGTACAGTAAGTGTTATTTTCTAATTGTTTATGCCTCAAAAGTATAGAAAATGGCTATTATTCCCCACAAACTTTGCTTTTGTGATCAGGACTTTATGTAAAGGAATAACACAAATGCGCACGTTTTCTCATTGAAAATAGGTACATTTATAAATATCACTGTCCTGGTCACAAACGCAAAGTTTGTGGGGAATAAGCCATTTTCTGTACTCTTGAGGCATAAGCAATTGGGAAATAACACTTACTACCCAGGAACAAAAAACATAAAACATTTTGTCACAGCGTCTGATTGATAGGACGCAATAAGACAACTATTCTCATGTATGTTTGTATGTAGAGGGGCATGGAAATGAGGCGTACGAATTGTCTGCTCAATGTTGCAGAGTTGGTTTCCCAAGTGTAGGACAAGGGGAGGTCATGGGCAAGGCATGAGCAGCTGATTAATCAGTAACCCGCACTGAATGCTGGCATAGAAAACAAAACCTATGATTGTTGAAATATTCAGCCAGATTTTAATCTTCACATAAATGTTGTTCCCTTTTGATACAATCTACATTTTTATGGTTATGCACGAGTATGCATGGAAACATTTATAGAAATGTCCCGGATATCATGCCGAGCCACTCGACTTTGTTTGAAAGGGTAAAGGTGCTGCCACGCAACTGCTTGCTCACGTGACTATAGCCGACGCTAGATGGAGCTCTGTGGAGCCCCCTCGAGAGGGTATTTGGCCTACTCTTCCACTCTGGCCAGATGTGAACAAGTGGGAGTACCCACTCTACCCCACAGCATGCATCCCACTGATCGACCAACTGTGTGTGCTGTACCCTTTTACACCACTGGGTAGAAAGCAGGGGAAGGTGGGTGGGAAGAATTTTAAAACGTGTCCCATTGTTTCAACTGTGTCGCTGGGAGATTCAATCAAACTGGCGATCCTTGAATTGCAGATCCAGTGTGCTAATTGCACCAAGGCAGTGGCTTTCTTTCCTTATGCAATGCATCCATAAATACTTAATTTGCATGAACAAAAAAAATAAATACTGAAATACAGACCATGGAATTGGTAAATTCTGCACTTAATATACTCTCTGAACTTAACCCAAACGTTTGTTTGAACGACCGCCAGCAACTTTGTAGATATCAATCCATTTAAGAGCCCACGGGTGGCACCTTTAAGGAAGAGGTTGAGGTGGCCGAGAAGCTGCTCGTAGCAGAAGTGACCGACAGCATGGAGCCATGGCGGCGCAGATTTGCTTCAGATCCATAGCCAGACTCCGCCTGGAACACAACAACATGCCCACCAAACACATGGAAGTTATCACTTTCCATCACACACAGCTCCCGAACGTTCAGTCAAAAAGTCATCATCACAGCTGAGTAAGTGGTGCCACCCCACAGCATCAGATCTATGGACTTCGAGCCCGAGTCCCATCAGAAAGTTCTCAGAGGCATCTCATCTTACCTGGCATTCTATATCAGTCTGCTTCCAGTGTCAAAAAGTTCCTTAAAAGTTTAGTAGTCGAAGCTATATGATCTGGTCACTAAAACACCTCCGTACTTTAATCGCAACAATAATTTCCATTGGGAACACTGGTGTCTGCATGTTTATTTTCTTTAAAAATATTACAGCAATGAACATCACTGAAACGCAACAGTAATGTATCCCTCTTGCAATTGGCCAACCAATTAACTTTATTTAGAACAAGCACAGGGTCCACTGAGATAAACAAATCTCTTCTGCTAATGAATCCTGGAGTTAATACAAGGGGTGAAATTGGGTTATATATTTAGCACAGCAACCAACACAATGCTGACAAAACAAAACGAGGTGAGCATTGAGTACAGTGAGAGGCTTTTACTACAATTACTTCATGTTGAGCCAACGAGCCAACACAAAGATAGGTTCGTCCACGGGGCGCCGCGGTGGCGAGAAGTTAACTACCTCGCTTGGTGCACAGGAGGTCGTGGGTTCGATCCCAACCCTCATGCTATATATATTTGGGGTTTGCATGTTCTCCCTGCGATTTTTCTCCGGGTCCTCCAGTTCTTTCCCTCCATATTTAGCAACATGCGTTTTGAGACTTTGGCTGCTATAAATTTCCACAAGAAAGCCACTTCGTTGAGCTATCATTTGTGGCCAGGTCACTTCTTAAAAAGAGCTATATAGCTCAGTGGGCCTTATTTAGTAAAATTTCAATTGTTTAGTAACATTCCTGAGGTCGTGTGCATGTGTGAGGTCGTGCTCGTGTGTGTACGAGGTCGTGAGTGTGTGTATTTATGAGGACATGCGCGTGTGTACGAGGTCGTGTGCGTGCATATACGAGGTTCATGTGCGTGCGTGTATGAACAAGTGGCACTAACCAGCACAAGGTGGGGGGAGGAGGTGAACAGGGGGAGTTGTATCTGTGCGAGTGCTGCTTCTGTCATAGCGGATGGGTGGGAAGGGTTTTGCTCATGTTTCTGTAGGTGGCACTAAGGTGGTGCCAAGACAAATATTAATATTACCTAAAAATGTCTTATTTTTCCCAACTTATGCCAAACATGCCAATGGAATTTAGCCATGACGGGAAGAATCCATTTGTAAATATCACAGAGAAGCGTATCTCGTCTGTCCGAAAAATGGCATATATTTTTTTAAGTTCTGCAAAAAATTTTCAAGTCACTTTTTATCTTTACACAGCAGGCGGTGTGCTCTCCCCACACGGCTATGAGATTCAGATTGTCGCATGGCAGTCAACCATTTATATATATTTTTTCATTCTCAGAAATGGAATTTAGTCAAATTAAGCGCAAACTCAAATCAATCTATTACGAGGGGAGTTTTTGTTTTTGTGCAGTTATTCGTAACCGAGCTGAGACCATCAACCCGCTATGGTTGAGATCGGGCTTTATAGCCATGGGCAGTTTCCCAACGTGGAACTCTCTGCCAAAATCTCAGTCGTGCCGGCTCAACGCTCTGGCATCTGAACCACCTGCCCACCTGGAATAATTATCTTGAAGTGGTGCAACAGCAGGTAGGCAAGTGACTTCAGAGTTTCAAAACACTGAGGTGGCACCGCTGAGATATCGAGGCTCGAATCCGGGTGGCCAACTATGATGGCGCCAAGGTTCTCAAGCCCTGTGAGAGTTGACAGTGTCAGCCTAGTCCAGGAGTCGGCAACCAAAATAACAAGAAGAGCCATTTCTTTCCAATTCGGTACAAAATTCAGTATTTCAAGAGCCGCAATGCATCTGAGTACATACTGTACATACGTACATATCGTCAAGAAGCAGCCCGTAAAGAGCCGCATGCGGCTCCGGAGCCGTAGGTTGCCGACCCCTGGCCTAGTCATAACCGGCTGTACAAAAGTGTGTCAGAGTTAAGTCTTATGAGATTCGGTTCTGCACTCAATTTGCATAGGTTCCAGCTGTGACAATAAAAAAGAACAATTCTCTTCTGCAAGGACAAAGATAAAACGGTAATTTTCTCTCCCAATACGGCTAACAGATAACCGTCCCATTACTTTGTCACCAAATCAGAAGACCAAGAACTGGGATTGCTGCAATATTATCATTTTGAAGTATTGAAGGAATATTACACGAGCAACCTAATCACTGACGATATTTAAAAAATCTAATTATATGATTATCGTGGATCTTATAGCGTAGGATATATTGTAGTATCGCCAAATCACAGCAAACTGAATAATGACACATTGCATTAGTTCATAATCTCCAACACAGCCCAGCATAAATGGCTGAATATACAATTCTTACATTCTTTTCTATGGCACATAATACATACTGGCACGTTAGCCTTTGCCAACAATGCGGCAACCTTCCTTACTTCAAGCATAACTTTAAATAATTACGAGCATTGTTGTAGATTATATAAATAATACAATAAGCACCGTCTCCTTCACTTTTAATCCATCTCTCCACGTAAAAAACATGTCTCCTTCATATTAAAAAGTGCATAATTTCAGCAGCATTCTTTCAAGATGAGCAAACTCTATGTTTTAAAACAGTGTCTCATCAGCAGTCAGGGTTGCTTCAATCAATGCAAGTGGACTGCCGATTTTCAAGGGCAAGGACCCTCGCCTTAAAATATGGGGTTCCAGTACTTCAAGCAGCTTTGATCACCATAGAGCTCACGTCATGGTGGAGATTTGTAAGAGACAGGACACTTCCAATGTTAGTGAATCTCATTAGCAAATGAGAAGTCATCTGTGCTTGGTAAAGCACCCACTACTCCACTTTCTGAATATATAATCCTCTAACTTTCACGGGTATACATTGCCTCAAACCCTTCCACCAGCTCCCAAACAAAAATTCCTGCATTAACTATAAGATTGGCCTCACTGACATCAAGATCCTCCATGGACTTGCCCGTACCCAACTCTGTATGCATGTTGAAATTATTTTGCGCCGTATGTAGCCAACCATGCACACTCTCTTCTCTGCCTGGTCTACTCCCCAACACATGTTCTCCGCTTGCGTAATTCAAGCAACCGCCTAAAACTCTCAGAGTTTTAAGCGGTGTTGGGGAGTAGACCTCAGAGTTTTAAACACGGGCTCCTGCCCGTGTTTTGTCTGTAATTACGGTACCTTCCCCCAGTAATCTGTGCTGCAAACTCCCTGCCCTTGCTCAAGCCTGGGCTCAAGACCTTCCTTTTTCTCTTCTGCTGTCAGTGGTAGCAACTGAGGGCATGACCGGTTTGTTTTTTTATTCCCCTTGCTCCATGCACCCTGTACCAGTCCTGTTCCGTTGTAATGTGCACCGATGCCCACTTTATTGAGGGCGATATTGGCACGTAAAATAAAAAGGTTGGCCAATTGACTGATGCATCTAATATAGAAATGCATGTGTATATATATGTTAGCTATGGTTCCCTGTGATACAAATGAATGGCTTTTATACATCCTTTTGAAATGCAGCTGCATATCGTTGTCATATGAACCCCGAATGTTTTCTTGATCCAGCTTAAGATATCCTATAAAATAAGAGCGTCCAAAACGTCATAGTGGGTGCCAATGATCTCTCAGTGGCTCATCGGCTTGAAGCAATTTGTATTCCATGAGAGGCGACAAGCCTCTCTAGCGACCAATTTTAAAAACCGATTGATGTTATTGGCCATCTCCTGTTACAAGGAGAGCAGTGGTGGGGGTAAGTTAACGGACACTAATGGCCTAATTCACAATAATGTGCATCATGTTCAGTGGGTTGCTCAGGAAGGTCAAGTCAACGTTTCGAGTCAGCATAACCAGGATTTACAGTTTCCGGTTCATATTCTCAACATCAAAGTTGCCTCATTTCCCCAATGTTTGTCTCACTTTTCCGTATCCCTCTTCAAATACTCGATCTCCCTATCCTCTCTGTGGCCTTGTGACGAATGTGCCCTCATTGGTCAAGATTCCAGTCAAGATCGGTGGAGGTAGGAGGGAGGTAAAAACCAAGTATAACCAGTGATCCAAATTTAGTTTCTTTTGTGTTAGACCGTGTAATTATAATGCAAAGTTTCAACTATAACCGTCTGTCACCCGACAGAACCAAGTTGTCACGTGGACAAATATGTCAACGGATTTGGTTTTTCTGCAAACCAGAGAAATGTTGAAAAGCAAGAGAAATTGACAATTCTTTTCCAGCAATGGGTATACTGTAGTTGAAAATTGGAATTATAACTTAACGATGATCTAACTCAGCAGAAACTCAATCTGAATCTTAATATTGGTAGTGAAAGCCTACATATAAAAATCAAGTTTTACCATTGTCTTCAAGACTCTATACATTCATAACCATTTTTATGTCTACATTTTATATCATTGTGCTCTTGTGTTTATTAAGTGATTGTAAGAGGCTGTGGCACCACTGCCTGCAGTGCTGCAACGTAATTACATAGTCTGGAGTCAGCCCAGACAAAGCAGCCCAGCTACGTTATGCGAAACAATCCGATGGGACCAAGGCCAGTCAGGTTTTGCTGTCACAGGTCCGCTTCCCAAGTCACAAGAACAAACAAACCTGGATAAGTCACATTACGATATCAGCTCACCTACTACTAGTCACAGAAACATGACACGGACATCCAAGAAATACTGGGCCTACAGCCATATCTTACATATAAACTATAATTTTACATGACGTAAGACTATAACATTATATGAATTTGCATTTAACTAGGAACCCATATCGTAAAGAGGGGATCATAGTCTTTAAGATCAGTTCACTAGCATCGATTCAAGCAAGCCTGACAGCTTGAGATACTGTATGTCGAAACAGGTCCAGAGTTTGCTCGTCTTGA